ATCGAGGAATTTGGAAAAAGCCATGGCCAGCAGGAAAAAAGCTACTAATAATTATACACATAAGAGATTAATTTTTCAACTGGTTAATACTGCTTTAATATGTAAAAAACCCATGAATTTTTAAAAGCGTGGTCGGGCTATATATTAGCTATTGATTTCAATCTCCTACAGCCACATTACGACATGGACTTGATACCTCAACACTTTTAAGTGTTGATAATACCTCTTTTTGATCCATATTAATTTTAAGTACATTACTTATAAAGCGGCAAGCTTGATCTATCCCCATGGTAATTGTGTTTTCCTCATTGCCATAATCATGACCTTTTACTTGCAAAAGCGTTATGAATTTAGAAGCATCTTCCGATTTTTTGAAAGTTATAACAACGTTATTATCTTGACAATTAACTTCTGGCTTATGTCCATAGTTTGCACCAATTACTCTCCTTATTGCATGCTCTATCGTTATCTTTCGTATTTCTGACCTTCTATTAAACTTACCCATAAACTCAAGGTATGATGGTAGGATAATGACATTATTGCAACGTATTACTACCTCTAAACTTGTAGGTGATTCATAACTTTTAAGATGTCGCATTGCAGTTTCAAGTCGAAGGGGTACAAAAGCTTTTCTTTCATACTTCTCATAATACTCCTTTACCTTCTCAAAGTACTTCTCTGCTTGAGTCAGTCCATCTTTTCCTTTTTTCCCCATTCTTTCTAAAAATCTCCCTACCGGCTCTTTTCTCGCTGGAATCTTATATAAAATTGGAAACTCCTTTAGCACACTGCTCCAACTTCCCAAATGAACAACTTTTGTACTTTCTGAGTATATACCCAGCTTTTTCAAGCATTTTACTGCATTATATAAATGTGCATCTGTTGGCTTATAATGCCCACTATTGTTATCTATATATGTTATTTTACCTTCCTTTATTCCCATCAATCCGGAACAGATTACCGGCTGGCCACCTGCAAGCGTTGAATGACGGATAGAGTGTTTACTATTCCCAGGATTAACGTGTTGATGAACAACTAACCTACCATCAAGTGTGATAACATAAGCAACGCATCCTTTCTTTCCCTTGCTGATTTTATCGCTTGTATCGTATAAATTACCATCATAATCATATAATTTTCCTTCCTCAACCTTTAAGGTGTTTTGCTTTTGTTTTTCTGAAGTAAAGTATTTTACTTTACTTTCAGTGCCAGGAATTTTCCTTTCTCCAGTTCCAACTTCCGGAAATAAATTATAGCGCGGGAAAAAGTATTTAAGACTATCCTCCAGCCAACGTAGAATCTTAGTAATCATACTAAAGACTGGTTTATTACCCAAATCAATAGATAATTGCTGCTCCTTTGGTATCTCTGGACGATTAGATTTTGTAGCAATCTTACCAAACTGTCTACTAGCATACTTAAATTTGTCTAGTAAATATCCCAGCCGCTCCTTTTTCTCACTTATTTTATCTCCAAACGTACTTTGATAAGTTTTTTGATCNCTTTTACCAGGTTTTCATGGTATGAATAAGGTGTAAATTGAGTAAAAAATAGACTTCTTATCCTGAAATCAACAGACTTGTTTTTATTATCAAAAACAAATTCCAACTTCTGCGTAGAATTTCTTACCTTGTACGCTTCCTTTGCATCATGATCAAAGTCATAAATTCCATACATTCCAAACCAGCCCTTAGTTACCACCAGCCAAGACCCGTTTGGTTGTTCATAAGCCGCTACTGGCTTCCCTGTCATCCCAAAAAACCAATTCCGCTTTTTAGACTGTTTAAACTCCTCAAATATACTCGTTGCATCCTCTCGTGCATCGTAATATACTTCATCATCTTCTTCTGTATCTTTCTCTTGTTGCTCTAACGCATCGTAAAACTCATCATCTGTTTCTATCTCTTGCTGTACTGCTGCAACATCATTTTGTACTGATACATGCTTAAAATTTTCTGCTTTTTGATGAATATTTACAGCTACAGCTTCACCCAGCAGCCTATTTATAATTTTTCCACTGATTAAAGTTTCTTTTTGTATTAATTTAAACTCTGAATTTTCCTCATCAATCTTTTCAAGCCCTGGCAGGATTTCCACTATTGTATCATAAGCATATCCTATAAGTGATTGCCACTTAGGGATTGATTTTACAAGTGCAGCAGCTACTCCACTTGACTCTTTTATTTTATTAACATAATAACCTGTAGCACTGTGCCTATTTATCTTTACCGCTAGAGTACTGTTACCGCCATCTAAAGTAGGTGTTAAATAAACACTTTCATCTCTACCTATGCTATATCCAGCAACAGCTCCATGTTCTTTTGCATAACTTAATGCCAAATTTATTGATTTCTTTTTTGCTTTATCCCATATATTACACCAAGATGCATTGCCCTTATCCTTAACTTTGAATAAATCATTCACATCAACCCCTGTATCAAGCATGACTATAGCATTAAAGTGAACTTCTCTGTGGTCTTCAAGCCCAGTTTTTTTCAGATATCCAGGAATATTATTGTTTACATCTACTCTCCTATCTTCTTTTCTTTCAATTGTAGAATCCATAAAATCTGGAATAACAATGTAAGCATTCTGACCTTCAATAGTTACAATTTGGGTAGCACTTTCAAGCTTTGCGGTATAGCCATTTTTATTCAGCTCAAAGTCCGTTAACTTGAACTCCTCTAGAGTTGAGATTTTTTGCTCTAAGCCAGACTTATTTTTTATCTCAATAGTATCAATACCTGGTTGGTTATATAAGGCTAATGCTATTGTTGTCTTTTTATCTTTAAAAATCTGTGAATTTTCTACTACCTGAAAACCTGCAGCATTGTAATACTTACTCTCATTAAAACAGGCTTCACCCTTCATTTCCCGTTCACTATTTCCTTTGAAATTAGTGTTTTTGACTTCCATGCACGCCATTTACTAATTAACATATTAATTGATTAAAGTATAAATAAATAGTTAAAAAAAGCAATATATCTCTCACATAATCCAGCAACATCATATATACTTAATTTTTAAGATATTTTATGCTAAAGATTGTCATAGTAGGATTACCAAATGCCGGAAAATCCACTCTTTTTAACAGATTAGTTGGAAGAAAGGCAGCCGTAGTAAGCGATACTCCAGGAATCACAAGAGATAGACGAGAAGGCACCGGCAGAATTAGCGATCTGGAATTTAAAGTAATAGACACGGGAGGGTGGAACGACCAAACTAATTTTTCATCACAAATTATTGAACAGATAGAGTTTGCACTATCTCATGCAGACATAATTTTTTTTCTTGTTGATGCAAGAATAGAAAACAACCAGAACAAAGAATTCGCCAAATGGCTAAAAAGAAAAACAGATAAGCCCATAATCCTTATTGGAAATAAATGCGAAAGCTATAAATCAGGAAATATTGATTATCTGAAATTTTTTAGCTTCACTGACCTAGTATACATTTCTGCCGAGCATAATCTAGGTATGGCTGATCTTTATGACGCATTAGCAAATGCTATTAACAGCCTAAACAATAAGACAGAACAAGATAGTTTAGAAAACAGCAAAGCCAGAATTGCAATAATTGGCCGTCCAAATGTTGGAAAATCAACGTTTTTAAATAGTTTACTTGCAGAAAATAGAGTAATAGCCAGCCCAGAACCTGGAACTACACGTGACTCTATAGATATCTCCTATAATTATAATGGAGAGGTGATCACCTTGATTGATACTGCTGGAATTCGCAGAAAAACAGATGATTTAGAGTCAAAATTTGTTGAAAAAAGCATTGATTCAATCAAACGCTCTCATATCGTAGTTCTAATGCTTGACTCCCTACTTGGCATTGAGCATCAGGATTTATCCATTGCTGAAATTGCAATCAAAGAAGGTAAAGGCGTGGTAGTGGTTTTAAATAAGTGGGACTTAATTGATAGAGAAGATAGGAGTAAATTAATAAAATTCGTAAAACAACAAGAAGCATCAAGACTTTTTCTAGAAGTGCCAATAATAACAATCTCTGCTTTAAATAATATGCGTTGTAGC